CCACAATTACTACTACTGAAGAGACTCTAAAAAAAAAAAAAAAAAAAAGAAAACTGGAACATCAAATAAAATCTTACAAATATTAGTTTCTACCAAATTAGACAACTGAATTTACCATAAAGTGAACTCTTAACAATGAAAACCATGGTATGCTGCTGTTGAGATGACAAAAAAATATTTCCTAAAACAATGCAAATAGCATCACAATAATAAGTTGTCATGGACAGAAATGTACTGTGCTTATTTTGTATTTTGTACATATGATTTTAGAAAACAAAAGTATAGGCTCAGCACCTATGGCTCAAGTGGCTAAGGCGCCAGCCACATATACCCAAGGTGGTGGGTTCAAATCCAGCCCAGGCCCACCAAAAACAACAAAGATGGCTGCAACCAAAAAATAGCCCACTCTACCCAGGGTGATAGCTTGAGGCTCTGTCTCAAAAAAAAAAAAAAAGAAAAGAATCCTTATCTTTCAGAGACATACTAGAATGTTATAGATGATATGATGACTATGATTTGTTTCAAAATTATAAGGGATAAGTGGAAATGGGTAGGAGTAAAAACAGAACAAGACTGATCATGAATTAATAATTATCAAAGCTAGATGACAAGTATTTGGGGCTCACTGTGCTATTCATGTTACTTCCTTATATGCTTAAATCTCCTATAATAACAGTTTTTGTCAAAAAGTAGGGAGAAATGGAGAAACAAATATAATAGTCATGGCTATCGGGCACTATGCAGAAACTATAAATGTCCTTAATTCCTATCAAATTAAATGGTTCCCTTCCTAAAACTAGAATTCAAAAAAGTGAGCAAACTTTCAGAGATATTCAGTGTATGATTTCACAGAAGCTGAGGATCATAGTTCTTTCTGCATTCCTAGTACATCACATAGCTGCTTGGTAGACTAGGAAAACTTGGAAGTCTTTTCAGCAAGACAAGATGAATTTTGAAAATGGCAGTCAGAATTTAAGTTCCTAATATCCTTAGATAGCAAAAAATATTACATCGATATTTTTATAGCTCAATAGTATCTATCACCATAAATCACAACCAAAGGCTATAATTATTACAATATAATGAAATATTAAAATATACACAAACCTTTTGGTATCAATTTTAATAGCAACAAAACTATTTGAAGATGCTTCTGTCACTTTCTCATCTTCCCAACTTGCAGCCATCTGTGTAGACTGCTCATCATCACCTGTAAAACATTTCAAGGATTTTTATAACATAAGGCCAGGACCTGCTGATTGCATATTCGGTTCCCTAGAAAACTGGAACATCGGCTCGACGCCTATAGCTCAACCGGCTAAGGCGCCAGCCACGTACACCTAAGGTGGTGGGTTCGAATCCCCAGCCCGGACCCGCCAAAC